CTTAGTGATGAAGATTAACTTATATCTTTACAACATATAAAAGGAGAAGTTTGAAAATGATCCTGCATTCTGCGTCAAGTACAGTTTACGATAAAATGCAACTGAGAGAGTTCATCGCAGCACATATTTTACCAAGTTTCCGTCGTGCCAACAGAATAACGATTTTTCGTCGTATGCATTCGTCATGGGAAAGAATCGTTAGTAAAACCATTCATCATTATTTGATGAGTTCATACTAACCATAGGAAACCGTATTCATTGCCAATAAAACTACAGAACTCGAATGTTTGTCAATGAAAACTCAAATTAATCGATATGATTCAAATTTTACTTACTCCGCTTTCGATGTCTTCAACAGAAGAGCCATCAATATCCAAACGAAAGCCGGTAATCCGAATCTTAGACACATCTTGAAGGTCTTGGCAAGATCTGTGGGAACATCATTCGTTCAATATGTAAAAATTGTAAAACAAATATCTCACCATGCAGTATAACGATTGTACGTTTCCCATTGGCTTATTTCCCACGATTGCTTTGACATAGCATATCGGCAACTTAATATACGAAACCACACGGAAAGCAAACAAATAGCTGTTTTGCATAAAAGGCATCACACACTTTTTATACCTCCATAGAGCAGATTAACGTTTTACGTAGTTGGTATGTCATTCTTGATCCTTTTTCCATTCTATTTCGACGAAAGACAATTTATCATAATTATGAAACACTTAAGTGCCATATAAGACACCACAACTTCAGCCTAATGGGCAGACATGTTTATTACATAAAATTAATCCTCTTCCAAAAGGAATGTATATAACTGCGCTTAAGAAATTTAAATTTTGTTACCATTCAAAATACATGAGAGACAGTGAAAGCCTACTCTGTACGGTAGAGTAAGAATGCAAGCTTTGTCTAATATTTGTGACGATTAACGAATTACGTAACGTCTGTTTACAGACACAGCGGTTTATAATAACGTAAAATGCGAGAAAAGAGCTATTCATGGCAAAATCAAAAGTGTTTCTGATGCATCTTTTTTCCACTTAAAGAATATTTTCTTTTGGAAAAGACGATGCGAACCTAAATTTTTACTTGAAAGAAAAGGTTTTAGCTTGGACAGGTGTTAAATGGATTTGAATTAACTAAGCTTTTTGTGTTATCAACCACTTTCCCCCTTTGATACGTTTGTTAAAATTTGTCTAGCCGACGAAGTATGAAGAAAAAAACAGACCAGCATTAATCGAAAACAGCGTCAGTCGACAACATTAAATATTTTTAGAGTAGCTTTTAATTTACCCATTCTGCTTTGTGGATTATCCAGCTCTGCCTTAAGGCTTATGGTATTTATGGAAGCATTTTAATCACGCGAGACAGAACTGATGCTCTTTGTAAAACCCATGGCATCCCGGAGAACGAAGCGAGTCAACCCACAGGGTTCCACTAGCTTAAAGCTCTTTGAAGAAAACGAGCCGAGATGTAAGCCTGTCCACACAAATAGCGACACAAATAGTGTGCGTTCTTCTTACGTCGAAAGTAATAATCGTAAATAATAATAATAATAACTTTTGTATATACTTTAGTAATTTTTGTAACTGCTTCCATTGAAGCTAAGTGTTACCGCTTCCGAGGAAAGCTGCGAAATATTTTGTGGTTAGGTTTTAGCTAGAAAATTATAGTTAGCGTTTCAGTTCAAATAAGACCCCGTGTGATCAAGATCGTTTTTGAATAGAAAACAAGTTACACCGCAATCCTCGATAAAGCAATCAAGACCCACGAACGTTGGTAAGCAATAACTTGTTTTGTGATTATGTTATCCAGCTCGTAGTCGTTACTCAAAGCGAAATTTATCGCTCGTTTTTACCTTTCTTTGGTTCTTATAATTGCCACGTGCTCGTTTTCAAAATCAACATTATTCTCAAGCAATGATCACAATACCTAGGTTATTTCTTCACGTAATGATTTCAGTTGACCGCTTCGATATAATAACACCCCAGGGAATAGGAAAGGAATAAAGAGAGAAAAGATCCTATTTTGGTTTGGTGTTTATTTTGGTTTGGTGTTTATCGCATGCGCGTGTATCAACCCGGGAATCGAGCTTGCAACTCTAGCTTGAAAAGAAACATTTACAGTTTTTTTGACCTTTAGGTTAAAATTCCTGTTAAGCAGATAGGTCACGTGTTCACGCCTGATCTTGTAATTTTTTTTTCATGTATCCAGAAATTTTCACTGCATGTAATGATAATGATAGTGGTAAAAATAATAATAGTGATGATAATAATAATTTATGATAATAATGTAAAACTTTATCGACAACTCAGTCAGAATAATAGTAAATGGATAGAGAACGAAAACAAATCGTGCTTTATTTACAAAAATGTATATTAACTCCGAAGAACTTGCATAGCTAAAGCAAAAAAGAGTTCACTGGTAAAATTTTCAACATAAAAAGCAACTACTTAGAATTCAATATTTCAAATACTTGTGAAGGATAAATAATCCAAAAGTCAATATTTATAAAGAGAATAATAAAAAAGGAACATATAAAAGAAAGTAAGTCTAAAATTCAATGGACATGGCGCTTTCTGTTGTTTGGATGTCAATGTTCTTAATGTCGCACGAGACTCTCTTAATAGTCCTTGAGCCTCTCAGACACAATAGAGCGCATCTTATTGATGAGAAAAACGTTTTCGCTCTGATACACGAGATGGTCTTCGCATAACTCCCTCCTTTCTTAGTTGAAATCAGGTCAGCTAGCCGGCTATGGTGTCTGTTGCATTCTTTTCCCAAACCTCCCGTTGTGGTGAAGACCAATGGTGTAAACGTATCACATTCAACTTCAATAACTCTGTCCTCATATAGACACTTCTTCTCGTTTTTGTGCAATTTGCAGATCTGTTGAGGTTCAAGTCTACATTTGGGTAACATACCCTAACGTCAAAAAAGGTAGATCGTTGTCTTCCCCAAAATCCTCGAGCATGAGTGTCCAGTCTTGCTTCCAGGACTTTGTTTGTCCCTCTACTTAGTTGTTCGCCTGTAATGTCTTGAAGGACGGGTTCTGTCTGAACATCATTGCATACCAAACTAAGTAACTCAGCCTCGATATCGTGTAACCCATTATGGAGCTGAATTACAAAACCCCCACGTTTACAGATCATGGCATGGTCCACAGAAAAGGCTTCGCCGCAAACGCATGTGCATGGAATGTCGTCAATTAGGCAATCGTAGCGTAGCTTGATTGCGTCTCTTAACTCCATCTTGTTCAGGTTGAAACCCATTTCTTTCATCGGCACCACCGACAGCCAAATGGATTCTCCTTTGTATTCAACCAGATATGGTGACCATGATACTCTTCTTGGTAATGTGTTTTTGACATGATCAACTGAGATTTTAAATGCCTTTTCTCACTTCGGGCTTCCTACTGCGCTGAACGCACATTGAAGTCATCTGGGAGCTTATGTGTTTGGGAAACGATTTCTCAACTAACGACATGGTTACTCTCTCTGACGATTAATACTCAATAATTACTGACCCTCATAAAATCCTATTGTTCTCTCTCAGCATTATATCGGCGATTTCAGCCTGAGAAAGTATTCATATTCAGTCAAGTCCAACTGTCTGAGGAAAACGGTGGCGGTCCTTTTTGGTAGCAGGGAAATTATCAGGGGTAATCCTAAACGCGCTAAAATGTTCAATATTGCAGTGGGCTGGCTGCACTGCAATATTTTTAATAATGCAGCCTGCTTCCAGCAATATTTTTAATATTGCTGCATGACTGTGGTATTTACTTCGTTACTTTTCCACTCAGTAATGTTTGAAAATTCGCGAATGTCCGCGCATAATTTATGATGAAGATCTGAAGTTAAAAAGTAAATGAATACACCATGAGAAGTACCATTCCAGGAGACGTACAGACGAAAACATTTTACAGTTTATTTAGGGCACATCTGACAATGACAGTCTTTCTCACTTGTAAGAAATAACAATTTTCGTACTGTGAGTACTAATTACAACTGACTGATTATAATCTTCGCTCTGGTTTTCGTCTAAAACCTTTTCGCTTAACCCCTGTAACCCTGTTTCTTCCCTTTGTCCATCATATTTTTGCTCAACATCATTGTTAAACAGTTTTTCATTTTTTTCCTTGACGTCTATTTCTGCCCTCTTAGGAGTCGCTCCCTGCAAGATTTCACTTGCTTTCCTGCGTTATGAAAATGGCAGATTCGTCTTCCGAAGAATCCTCCATCAAGCTTCAAAACAGTAGCAACTCTTTGCCTTCCAACAAACAACTCAAATAACCAAGTGCATTGCGTTAATATACAATGCAAATTACGTTTGCATGAAATTCAATCACACACCTGAAAGATGTGGAAAGTTACATAATCTTTACAAGGATTTAACAATGACTAAATTCCGGGAAATGAAAAGGGTTATGTAATTTGTATAACTACTAGACAATACGTGCTAATTGCATTGTTGGAGAGAGAAAATAGTAGGATTTCATGAGAGTCAATGATTATATCATCTTTGCAAGTAGTTAACAATGGCTGAATTGGGGAATGAAAAAGGATTATGCAATTTGTATTATTACTGGACAATGCTTGCCAGTTGCATTGTTGGTGTACCAAAACATCAATATGAAGGGGCGACTGAAATCGCCGATGTAATGCAGAGAGAGAACAATAGGATTTTATGAGGGTCAATAATTATAATAGTTAATTACTTCGGTTCGCAGCATTATTGGGTATAATGCAGGCAGCTTCGGCCTGCGGCCTCAGCTGCCTGCATTATACCCAATAATGCTGCGAACCGAAGTAATTATCTATTAACTATTTGCTTCATGACAGGGGTTTGTGATTCCAAGGCCACCATGACACACTAGTAAAGCAAACATATCCCGCTCGCTTGAACTGCAGCTATGTTCCGTTATTGTTGGAATAAGGACATTTGATATTGCATTCTCCAGTGGTTCTAGACGATCCTGAATATCAGGCAGTGTTCTAAGGAAATAGGTCCAGCGGTGTTTCAGGCTGAATGTGAAAGCAGCATAGCATGCTTGAGGCTGTGACAGTACAAACTCGGCCAGCCTGGCCACTTGTCCAGCATGTGACTTTGTTAGTGCTGTATTCGTTCAGGAATGCTGCTGAGTAGCCAGTAGCAAGCTCTCCATACAGCATTTCCTTAGGAATTCGACCATCTTCCATGCGGCTTAAATGACCAAGCCAGCGCAAGCGTCTCTGGGCGAGCAAGGCAAGCATACTGGGTATTCTTGTTTGTGCTAGAACGTTCTTGTTTGGGACATGATTATGCAAGGTGATGCCCAGGATCTGTATGAGACAACTCGGGTGGAAGGCATTAAGTCTGCTCCCTTGGTGAGAGTACAAGGTCCATGTTTCGCTGCTGTAGAGCAGTGTGCTGAGCACGCAAGCTTGACTGACCTTCATCTTGGTTTTGATGGTCAGCATGGAGTTGTCCCAGACCCTTCTGACCAGAAGGGCCATTACCGTTGCTGCCTTGTCGATCCTTGAGTTCAGCTCAGCGTCTAAAGAGAGGTTGCTGGCGATGATGGAACCCAGGTAAGTGAAAGTGTCTACCACCTCGAGAGTGTAGTCACCGATGGAGATGTTGGGAATTTGGCTGACGTCTTGGCCCATGATGTTGGTCTTCTTGAGACTAATAGTAAGACCAAACTCATGCCATGCACGTGCAGAGCAGTTTACAAGTCAATGTAGAGCTTCTTCGGTGTGTGCCGCCAGGGCAGCATCGTCTGCAAAGAACATCTCCCTATTCAATACTTTCCGCACTTTCGTCCTCAATCGAAAACGTGCATGGCTGAACAGTTTACTATCACTTATATTGTGGAGGTACACGCCATCCTCTGACAGGCTGAAGGCATGGGAAAGCAGCAGAGAGAAGAAGATTCCAAAAAGTGCAGGAGCAAGTACACACCCTTTGTTTCACCCCGCTCTTGAATGGGAATGGATCTTAGGAGGAGCCATAGTACTGGATGATACCTTGCATATCTTCATGAAAAGCTTTGATCATCTTCAGGAGCTTGGAGGGGCATGCTATTCTCTGCAGCACGGTAAAGAGTCCTCTCCAGCTAACCAAGTCAAAAGCCTTGGTCAGGTCGATAAGGCGATGCATAATGGCCGCCTTTGCTCTCGGCAATTTCTCTTGCAGCTGCCTCAGGGAGAAAATCATGACGATCCTTGATCTTCCTGCTCTAAATTTGCATTGTGCCTCAGGGTATATGCGTTCTGCAAGTAACTGCAACCTGCTCAGAACTACACGGGCAAGGACCTTCCCAACAAGATTGAGGAGGGATATTCCACGGTAGTTGTTGCAGTCACTGCGATCTCCTTTGTTCTTGAAGAGTGTCATGATGTTGGCATTACGAATGTTCTGGGGCACTAGTAATAATAATAAATAATAACTAATAACAATTATTAATAATAATGATAATAATCAAAATAATCAAAATCCAAAATTCTACCTACATAATACACCGTTAAAAATGATCTTTTTGAAATTATTTAATTAAATAAACACCTGTTTTCAAAAATGTTGCCATTTGAAAAAAAATATACGAAATACGTTTACATTTTCTTTTTCCATTAGAAAGGTCTTGACAGAATAAATAGTAGGTACAATTTTTCAAAAGGAAATACAATAGCTGCTTTTTCACCTTAGCACAATAACAAAAAAAAAAAGAAAGAGGTATTGTCCTTTCGATGTGAAACATAAATGTCTCGCCCATCCCTTTTTTGATGAGGAAAGAAACCTGGTTACAAGGATGCTATCAAACTACGCTATGACAGACCAGCCAAAAATATTCCCTTCACGTGAGTATGCGGAGAAATCTTAATGTTTAGACCACGTCATGATTTTCAAACGAGGCGAATTTGCCTTACAACAGCATAACTAGCTCAGAGACCTGGAAGTTGAACTCCTGAGTAAGGTATGCAGCGAAGTTGAAGCCTAATCCATCTAACAAGACATCAGTGCATAACAGCTGAGCAGGGAAGCTTGCTAAGCGCAAGGTTGGACATTTAAGTACGTGGTTTCTGAGACTTAAAGCCACATCAGAGCCACAGAATGCGTAATGCATTGAATGAGAATAAGTGCCATTACTCGAGGAGAGTTTTTGACATTAAACACGGAACATTCACACCCCTAATACTTATAGCTTTGAAGAAGGGAGAGGGTTAGGGTTAGGGTTATTACAAAGTGCGAGAAACCCGTGAAGAACCTTTTCTCCAGAATTTATATAATTTCAACACGAAACATTTTCACCCGAATTTGACGCAAGCTACTATTCTCCAAAGGATCTATTTTAACATTCTTCTGAGAAAGAGGCAGCTGCTATTCAGACAGTAATTTACATCTCTATAGGCAGAATGTGGGCTCTTCTTTATATATTGAATATTGTAACAGAAACCTGTTATGAAACAACGTAGATGCCGGTTTTTTTCTTTCAACTATCATCTGATCAAAATTCCTTAAAGTAATCAGTAGGGCTAAAGTTCATAGGAGCGTATCATAAGTAACCCTGTTCTCAGAAAACAGGCAAAATCATCCGAAGTTTGCATCCATATTGGCTACTTGTTAATGTTGAAGAAATACATCTTGGTACTCAATCTTTCCTGATAATAACTTTTCCCTATATACTTTTACTTATCTATATCTAGATAAAAGCCGTTTCATCAATTTCGTTTGCAGAAGATTAATTTTCCTAGCCCGATTTGTCTACTGATTTCCAGAAAGCTGAACGGGTGGTGTATACATTCGTATCAATATTCAGTAGACTATTTTAGTTAAAATATAGACCCAAACTAAAATCAAATTTGGATATCGCACAAGTTATCAGAATTTAACTTGTGAGCACAAATGCCGGCAAAAAGTTTAAACTAAAGTCAATAAAGTGTGTTTGCCTTTCCAGGGCCATTATATGTTTTATCGCAACGGATCAAAGTAGTGAATGTGGCTGTGGGCCTTCTTGATACCACAATCATAGTATGGCTAATTGCTGGGCTCAGACAAGCCGACGTAAATAAATGGCAGTATGGAGGAAAGAACAAAATTCACATCATTGATTTTGAGCATAATGGAATGCATTCTAATGATTTTGACACGATCAGTCCAGTGTTCACCATGTTGGGATTGATATTCGAGTCCAACTAACCCTCTTACCCAACAACGAACATTTACGGCGTAAATTAATAGCGACGCTCCACATATAATTTGGAAATGAATGAGACAATTTAACTTACTAAGTCGCCGGCGAACTGGGGAAGAGCGCCATATTTATGTGAGGTAACTGAGAGCACATTGCAGGGAGGAAAACGGATTAAGTTTGTTTATCAGTCGGTTGACTCGCTCTACAAGCTTTCAACATTCTGACCATTTCTAGTGGTCCGCTTTTTCAAACAATGTAACCATAAATTGCAACTGATTAATTTTATGATCAGGTACTCTTCATTCTCACTATTCAGACATAATTCATGAGGGATCCGGCAGGTGAATTTTTCTGCTTAAGACAATTTTTTCTTCCTATATTAATGGGAGATTCAAAAGTAATAATTACGACAACTTTTCCTCTGATTTGGTTGGTGCGCAACCCATATTTTCTCAGCATGCTTGTTCGCTGATCTCCGGAGTTCAGGAGCCAATCGGAGAGACAAATTTAAGAAGCACGTGTCTTCTACTGGGATATAGTGATATTGCTTTAAGCAAATATTTAGTCGATGTTTGTCAGAGGCTGTATGTCTCTTGAGTGTCCGGCTATTTTGCGGGCGATATATGCATGTTTTATTTAACAATTAATTTTTCAATGTCGCGGTTGCTGAAAAGCATAGGATTCACATGCACACGTTTCTCCTCGGAAACTAGAATTCAATAAAATGGCCAGACTTTAGTGGCACGAGATCTTAATTTCTTTAGGCTGAGATTTCAGTTTTTTTTTCTTTCTTTTTTTGTTTGTGGTTTTTTTTTCAACTAGAACGCCTAGCAAACAGACCCAAAAGCATGCAACATTTCTAATAACTTTTTACTGAAAAAAAAGAGGGAGATAATATCAATATTAATTTTTCAAATGTCTATTGCTTATTGCATAAGTAAGAACTTACGAAATTTAAAGGATGGATCTAGATTGGTATAGGTAATAAGAAATCTGCCAAAAAATCAACACTTTGACTATAGAAAGATAATTTAAAATGGAGTAACGTTTGTAAATTTAGCAAGGTGTTTATTACTTGCTAGTTAAATAAAAACACCTGTTTCACTCATTTCATGTTTTTGGCGTCTGATTAACGTTTTGATGACTCTCCAGTTCGCAAAATAAACTTTGAATTACATCAGTAGGGAAGGTTATCTCATACACGGGATTGTTTTATTTCAGACGCCCATATTACCTTATGTACATGTTAATGAAAACTGACCACTAGCAAATATTTTTTAAATCCGATTCTACTGGTCGGGTAGCATTTATTCGAATTATACTACGCCCAGGAAAGAGTTAGAATTTATTCAGATATAAGCACCCTAAAAAGAAAACGATGTGGTATCTAGAAAAAGGTATTCATTCCTAAAACGCAGCGTGTACGAGATGTATATGAAACTTTAGTACAATTATGTCTGAGTGTCTGGAAGGACGCGACCCACAGCGTTTCTTCTATTTGCAGAATTCGTAATTGGTATCAAAGTGATAAATACACATTCAATTATTTTCTTAATATGAAATGGCTAGGAAACTGCTTTTTTCTTTCAAATCGACGCATTTTTGAAATCGAAGCCTACTCAAGAGGAAGAGAGCGCGTTCCCGTTGATAACATCCGACAAAATTAGAAGGTAACACGCCACAGGGCCAGTAAACAGGGCTTCCGTATAGGAATTGGACAAAATGAAATGGCAAATGTAAAATTAAACAAAAAGAGAAAACCCAACAATTAAAATACACCAAAAAGACAAAAATAGGAAAAAAGAAAATGCCGGCGAGGGGTAGCTTGAGCGTTCCAGTCACTAACCACTTTAACTGAAGAGTGTTCGCAAGATTTTAAACGCGAAGCAAAGTGAAAACGAAAGCATAACTGAAATAGTCTGGAAGCCAGTTAATTTCAGTGTAATTGCATAATGGATAGAACATAAGTTCCATTTCATCACGTTTCACCCGCATCACCAATGTTCGAAAAGTTCCGGCTGTAAGTGAAATGCCAGAAAATAGGAATAGTGGGTAAAAATTGTTTAATTTGCTCAAGATAATTTTTTTTTTCGTTTTAAGGTTTTCCACAAGAAATTACACAAATTGGCATGACGATAAGCATTGTGTGTCAGGCAGCTTTTTCTATATTACTAGGTCGTATTCTAATGTGAAGCTCATATAGTTTGAGTGTTCAGACACCCTTGTGGCCGCCATACGACAGTTATTTGGCCATAAGGAGATGGCAACAAGAAAAAAACAATTCCAAAACACGACAAAAAATACAAATGCCGGCCCAACAACACAAGTCGGCAAAAAAGGCGCTGGCCGAACAGCCTTGCTTCATTCAGTGAAACTGCTAACGTACGTTAGAAAAAGGATTAAAGAATCCTTGTTCTGCAACTTGAATTTTTCACACAAACTATATGAGGATGATTGTAAGAGGTAATTTCAGTGACTTTTTGTTTCCTTTCTCTTTTTAAAACGTCTTTAGAAAACCAAGATTGAAATTTACCACCTTTTTGTCGCCTTAACAAAGTTTAAAGAACATTTGAACGCCGTTTATTTTATGTTTCCACGCCTGTGCAAAGCGAATTTGACATCTCCCTGTAATCTCTCATCAAAAAGTACGAAAAAGTAAGGCGAGACTCGGTATTGATTCTATCATGCACATCTCATAAACTACCACAACATAATTGATATCCTTCTCAAAAATTTTCGTTTCAAAGACATTCTGATCAACATTGTGGTAAGCAAGGCCGTTGAATAAGTTTACATTACAGCATTTTTTCGATAGCCCTCACTCGTTTTTCCCTTTGAAAATTCACACCGAAGTTTTGTTACACTTGAATCTTTGCCAACTTTTTACCGCTTTAAGGAAAGCGTTCTTCTGATATCATTGGTGATTCGGAGAGACGAGGCTTAGGGGGTGAATATGGCTTTTCTTACGTAAACATGCATTAAGCTTATTGCTCCATGAGAAAGGAGTTATTGTTATTTCCAGCTGTGTAGCGGCCCTTGCGGACGAGTTTGATCAATTATTAATTGGGTATAATCCATAAAATCCCGGAGATGCATATGCGGTTTCTATGACAAAATAAAAGTGACAGAAGTACTCATCTGGCATCAGGTATTTTCACTGGGAACCATCAATGTCACCAAAGCCTTCAATCCCACGGCAATCATTGTTATTAGCGGTTGCCAGTGCATTGCACTAAAAATGTAGTGATATTTACAAAGAGTAGCAGGTAACTGTGCGTCTCTTCACAACAATTAAACAAACAGAATAATTTCATGAGCACACAATACCTGTAGCCTAAGGAATGAGACACATTTTCCTTTATGTCTTGCAATTTACCTATCCAATCTAAGTATGACAAACCAGAATAGCAATTATATATTTGGTAAGATAAACGTTCTTTTCATTTTATACTTTACGTACACCTATTATCAAAAAGAGGAAATCGACTTCGGAAGCCGTAGAGTAAATATCATTATAATTTTGAATATATCAAATGTATATTTGAATAGTTATGTATAAATTTAATTAAGACTTGATCAGTATTGAGCTTCAACAAAGGTGTTTTCCCTTGCAGTGAAAAGCTCTTAAAGCAAGGAAAGAAATAAAAACAGCATAAATGTTCTTTGTTTAACGATATCCTCATCAGCTGGAGCATCAGTAAGCCGACGGTGCGTGGCTTCAGCGTTTTTAGGCGGTTGCTATTCTTCATCCAGATTATGATCTTTCTATTCACGTTAAGGCGAGCGAGTTTGTTTATTCCATAACTGTTTTTTTTTTTTTTTTAGGTTAGCAAGAGGTTACAATGCATCGCACATTCTTGTGTATTTATTTCATGGCATGGTATTTCAAGTTATATATAGCAGCTTCACCTTCACCGGACAGGTACTGATTGAATTCAATTTTCAGCGTATATGCTTTTTTCGAAGCTAAGAGATCTCAGCCCATCGTTTAGTCTTATAGCAAAGTAATTGAAAAGTAAATAAAATGGAGTAAAAGGTGTCAATTTCAAGGTAGGTTTAGATTACGTTTATTCCCGTGAATTTGTATTTATTTATTTGCCACATTACAAAAAAGTTAATAAGGAAACATGATGAGCTTAGATAAATACAACGCGTTCATCGAGAAAACTTAAACTTATAAGGTTTTCTCTCAAAGAATTAAACTCCGAACTTAGTGATACATAACATCGAACAAGGAGCTGAGATTTTGAAAAAGATGGGTTGCCTATGATTGCCTTTTCCACCCTGAAAATGTATTCAAACATGTGGTTGCATTGAGATAAGAAAATGAAAGGAATTTCAAATTAATATTTAATGTAGAGTTTAAACATGTTAGGAGAAGAGCGGATGTAAACACTGCGCTAAACTTATTAGAGACGTCGCGAACTCCTTGTGTTTTTCACATTGAGCCAAAATTTTCAGTGCAAAAGTTTCAAATAAAGTCGAGATAACTGTTTCGATGCGTAGAGAAGTTCAACAACTGTGTTGAGAATGTTCCGATTCATGGCTTAAGTGCTAAGTTCATGATGATGCACCTCCATTTCAGTTAAGAAACGAAAGCTCGAAAGAAAGTCAACTTACCAGCGATTTTGTAAAACAAAAAATATATCCTACTCCCCACAAAAAGCAACGTTCAATCAGCTTAACCCGGCACAGATTTTGGCTGAAGGACGAGCCTCCCAGTGAGCTTTTCGCTTAGCTTCTGTAAAAGCACCAATTTCGCGTGAGTGTGCGTGTGTCTCGTTGTCTGATATGTGTCACGAGTGCAGTTGCATGGGGAGAATTGTTTTAATCTACTTATAAAATATAATTAATACTCTCCTCCAACAATGAAATTTCCTTGAGACCTTTCGATAATTATGAGTTATCTAAAATACATGCCGTGCAACAAAAGCATCGTTTGCATAAAAATACATCTTGAAACAATTTTCGTTATCCTTATTTATATTTTTATACCTAGGGAAAATAAAAGTATGCATATGTTTCATTTATTCCAGATCACTTTAAAATTCTTTTTTTTTTTTTTTCGGTTTCGTTTTTTCATTGAAGCTACAAGAGCACTACAGAGACTATGAAGAAATTATTTCACGAGGATCACTATGATAAACGGCTGAGGCCTTTTCACAAAGGTAATGGATCTCTATCTTTAGAGAATTTGCAATCGTTTCTACTTATTTTATGACGCTCAGTATCACTGAATATACTCTCTAAATTAGTTCTAGATGAACATTTTGCTTAATCTTAGCAATGAAACACACCTCATATCTGCCTTCCCTTCCTCTATGTGCATGTATGGGTTTTTAAAATCCTATCACTACACCACGTCAGTTACCGAGACACGTCAAGACATAGAAGAACTTAAAAACAAATAGGGCGCGGTTTTTTAAGATTAAGTACACCAACGGTCAAGCCTCCTACATCGGAAAGACTAAAAACTTCACAGCAAGACTGACTGAACACGACTGAGCGACGAGAAAAGGGATTTCAACAATCAAATGCCGAACATCATCGACTTACGAACCACGCTATTGACTGGGACCATGCGTAATGCCTAACCTATAGCACTATTTGTTTTCAGCGACTAAGTCTGGAAAGCTGGTTTTCAGATTCCCCTGAACAGAACAACGTAACAATACCGACGGATCGAAACTAGCCAATCACGACTGACCCACGTGAGTCTCGTGGCCGATCAAAAATTACGAGTAAACTCACAAATCAGTTAACACGAACGGCGTAATCGGACTCAGTACACTCGAGTCACAACAACTCGGCTTCGGGTCGTCGTTAATTCAGTGACTATTACCGATAACAGGCCTTCTCACGACTTACCCTGAAAATCAGACTATACCATCAAATGTTCTTTCTTTTCATTAAAAAAAATGTTCAGTTTTTGAAGTATCATATTCTTCGCAGGATAAGCGAATATTTTTTTCCTCAACATAGGACCACAACTGAATATTACGATAGACATGTCCGTGGTACATTTCGGAAAAGTGAGGGAAATTGATATGGTAAGTAACGGATCAGGAGCTAAAATAAATTTTCAAAATCACCCGCCTTAGGCGCAAAGTTTTTACCCGACCATTTTCATTGACTGTAGCAAGAAATAGACCACCGTCCCATCCTGAGGGAGATTTTTTACTTTACTTATCGTATGTTAGAACATGCCGTTTTTCTAGGAATCTGAAATTTTAAAAGTTCGCAGCATATTTGGTGCAATAGTCGCCTTTTTTGAGCGAAAAATAAAGTTTACCTATGTTGAATGAAAAAAAAAACAAACAAACAAACAAAAACAAAACAAAACAAAAAAACGGTTGATCGTTTTGAAGTCAGAGAAACCCTTTATGTTTGTACTGCAGGATTTCTCCGTTGACGTGTTCTTTCGTCAGTACTGGCGAGACCCGCGCTTGAACCACACCCTTGAAGAGCCAATTTTCTTGACCGGATCTTACAGAAATCTTATCTGGCTGCCGGATACCTTTTTTCTCAATATCAAGACAGCCAATTTTCACAACGTACCAGCTGATAACAGCAGAGTAAAAATTAGGACTGACGGTCAGGTCACTTGGAGTTCAAGGTAACGAACACCAGTTACTCAAAGACAAATCGAAAAATAATTTTCTATATGTGCGTATACATTATGACCCTTAGACGCCAAACCTAAAACTCGAGACACTATAATGCGCAACTCAAATAGAGAGGGAAGCTTTCCTAGACTATTATGTTGAGAAATTGCAGAGTGAAAACTTGCCAATTATGAAAATAAACTACAAAGTCAAGAATATTATCCCGCTCTTACAACTAAATGTAGAAGATATACCCAAAGTAGGTAAATGACTTGTCATCTTAACAAAACAATGACACTCAAAAATAAAAAAACGAGAAAACTTATATAGTCACTGAATTTATAAATTTCTTGCAGGATAACCATGACAGCAAACTGCCAGTTGGATCTGAGGGACTACCCACTGGACAAACAGTCTTGCAACCTGACACTTTTAAGCTGTTGAGTAAACTTTTTTTTCATTAAACAAGTTCTTCCAGGAGATTTAAATGTATATTTTGTTGACATATTAGGCCAAATTTTCTAATCAGTGAAAAGTCCAGGCTACATTCACTCAAATTCATGACGAATAGATTTAAATCTGATATCGACATCTTATCGCCAATTCGCACCTTTTTATTATATGTTTGTGGTAACACTTAAGGACACAGTTCGCAGTCTAACAGCCGTATGTGCCCTTTAGATGCTTATCCGATTGAACAAGTCGACTATTTTTGGAAAGACAAAGATAAGAAAGGTATCGTCATTCTTGAAGATGAAATGAACGAGTTTACTTTGAGAGACATCAAGACCAGAAGGGCGATAGTACTTTATGGGACTCGCGGTTCAAGTAAGTATTCGCACTCAGTTTGTTCGTCAAGTTATGCAAAGAAGTTGATGAGGAAAAACATGTTAACAATGAAGAGAATACAATTCACATGGCAATAGTCTTTTTGATTTTTTTTGCAAGCGTAGCTGTGGGCACTAACCTGACGGAGCATTTGTTAGGTCGCTCGATCGTTTGTTCAATAGTCAGGAACTAGTGGTCGCCTTGCTGCTTATAAAAATTAATTTCTTGTAAAATGCAGCTTTATGAGTACACAGAAATGATTAAAAAAACATTTTTTCTTTTTGTTTCGACAAGATTCAGACTATACGCACCTGTGGGCAGAATTCACCTTTAAGCGCCGTCTTGGATACGCCTTCATCCAGATATATGCACCGACAGTTCTGATAGTTCTCCTCTCCTGGCTAAGTTTTTGGATCGCACAGGACGCAGTTCCAGCTCGTGTAGCCTTGGGAGTTACAACAGTTCTAACCATCGTAACACTTATGGGCTCATTCCGGTCTTCAGTACCTAAGGTGAGGGCAACAGGGTTAAGAAAATGGCAGAAACCCTGTCCTCGTGTGTTTAACTCTGCGGGTTGGACAAGGCCTTGTTTCGAAGCTAATTAGCATATTACATTTCCAAAATACATTGCTTACAAACGAGCATTTCTTTTAATTGCATTATTATTATTATTATTATTATTATTATTATTTTTAATATTTCTATCATGATTATGTATTTTTTAATGTGCATGCATCAAGTTGCGGGGATACTGCAGAATTATGTGACAATCATTCATCTATATTTATTGGTATGCTTTGAAGAACTAAAAGTGTGGCTATTTTCAAATAACATGTAGTGCATACTCAAAACGTTTTTTAGCACAATGATCTTCACTGCAAAAGAAGAGTGGCATATATTAAAAAACATGCACCATATATGGCTCATACTCCCCTCGATCTAGCATTTGATGCGCCAAAGTTTCTTCTACCAAAAAGCATATGATCTTAATATTCTCAAAATTTTGATTTTCAGCGTTGTTAATGCCTGCAAAGCATTTATATACTGATTGTTCCATATTTTCACACTTCCATTTCATTTACTAGAATATTTTTACACTGTTTGTCTCTTTAGCTTTGCTCAATCAAAAAAAGAAAAAAAAAATCATAAAGAAGTTGAAGTTATGGTACATACCGCTAAGTAAAAGCATATACAGGAACTTTAGAGGGAAATACCACATTTTAACAACTTCAGGTGTTGCAGATAGCAAGAGTTATTGAAATGCAAAACTAATTTAAACCAAACTACGTCGTCATCGACGCTTGAAAGATCTTTCAAGCGTCTTCTCAAACAGGAGAGTGCCCTTGTAACTTTGAATGACATTTTCCGTACATCATTCCGTAGGATCTGTTGTAAAACTCACATGTTCATGCTCAGCGCGTGCATAGTCCAATCCGCTCACCGCTGCGTCATGCAATAATAATGTCGCGCGAGCTACATAAACATATTCGTCTCTTCGAGTCAGACAACAACAGGAAAAAAGTAAGAGCACAGAGCTAAGCTTTCTTTCCTCGTTTCCTCTTCTAGGTGTCATATATCAAGGCCATCGATGTTTACTTCATAATATCTTTCTTTTTCGTGTTTGGCGCGGTTGGAGAATACGTCATCGTGCGTCTTCATACCGAAAGAAAGCTGAAAGGGCCTCAAAAAGACAACAGTTTAGATATGGAAATGATACCTCTGAAACAGGTAACATTAAAATGTCGTTTCAAAAATGATCAAATTGTTATTGCCACCATCAGGCTATCCGCACATAATTATTCGTGTACAATAACCTTTCCTCTTGTGACAGTGGCTCAGTGGGTAGGGAAAAAGCGAGATTAAAAAAAAGGGGGTGGGGGGGAGCTGGTAGAGTAATAGGATTTGGATAGTAATTTTTTTTTCTCCCAGGACTTTGGCGTAAATTTGCGACTTTCAACCCCACGTAGAGCTGTAAAAATTTTCGCGATTTCTGAGCTGGTTGGGAAGAAACAGGAAAAAGCCGCTAAAGAATTGTATTACAAATCACTTTGATCATCTTCGTATTTGCAAAAACTGTTTTTCAGGACAATGGCGAAACATCACCAAGACGCTGTGAGAAAGACGACAAGTCTGATAATGAGAAAGACTTTGAGCGTTCGCAAAGCGGCAGCATTGGGGCCCTCGGGAAAACTAGGGAACTCGTGAAGTTTGCTTTTCTGGAGAGTGATGCAAGCATCATCGATCGCGTCTCTCGTATATTATTCCCTGTTGCATATCTTGTGTTCAATGTTTTTTATTGGTGCTTTTACTCCGTTATTAGTTTCGAAGGCGAAAAGGAGTAGAAGAGTCCAACATCCCACAAGTTTTCTCCCTTCGTCTTAATCTCCAATCTGATTAGCTTCGCACGCGCTTGAAAGTTTTTTCAACTGATATCGATTAAATCGGTGGCTAAGGCTGCATGCATCGCCAATTTTCAAGACATATATCACCGAATGAGAGATATGCACTTTATTATGCTCATACTAGGATTGACAAAAAAATATTGCTTTGATTTAAGGCGACATGTTGTGGCTTCTAAGGAAATGTGAACTAAATGAAAGCTCAGCCAATTCTAAAGGAATAAGGTATAAATGCTTATTTCTTTGGACGCTTTTCTGCTGCTTGTTCGCTGTAATTCATTCTTGGATAGCTCAAAACTATCGTTAATATGTTTAATACTTGGGTAGAAAAACTCAAAAGGAGTAATTTTGAACTAGTAGGGACTTATGTCGAAGGGTGGAAAAGATTTTTCCGGATTGCGAATTGAAAAGTTTAGAAAAAAATGCATAAAATGGATAAACTGTGACGTAGTCATTTAAAAAAATAACAAATAATAATTGCCTTCTTTCAGATGGTAAGGAAAGATAGGAAAACAGAGTCTTTTACAGCCCTTAATCGCAATTTGACCAAACATTGTTAGACCATAAGAGTGTGATTTTTCGGAGCGAAAAACTCCGTTGTTTTGACGTAGCAGTTGCTACGAAAGTTCTCTGGGATTGTTTCTTGCGTTTGAGATAAATGCAGCCTTATTAAATAGATACTTATTCTACAAAAAAAACATGACTTTTAAGGAGGCCTACCAACCACAAACTCCCAAAGATATATGCCGTATTTGCCATGCCAAAAGTATCACTCATAAAAAGTCGAGATTGATTCAACCATTTATTTTTATTACTTATTTGTAGAGTCAAATATTTGATACACTTCAATTGCATAAGAAGCCCCTAGATGGAGAAAAAAAAAAAACCGACCATTAATTTAATCAAAATTTTCCGATATAGTTGGGATCATCGATTGTTACGAGGCCGAGACTAAAGTTTCAAGCAAACGATTAAAGATTAGTTAATGCTCAGGCGAACGAAAACGAAGAGACTGGTAGAATACGCAATTAAATTCATGTGCCAAAATACTTTCGATTCAGAAAGATATGGTGATAATCAGTTCTTAGCGGTTGGTTAATTAACATTCATTGTCACTGAAGTGAGAGTTTATACTGATTTTACAGTGCAATTGTTTAAAGTTTTAATCAAGATTATGTTTAGCATGATTTATCAAGAATTATAACATAGCTGTACATGGTGTTCTTGAATATCCGTTATTTAGCAATCAATTCTGCTCGTAAAGGAAGGTATGGAGGGCACACACATACAAGTAGATTTTACTGCATTACAGTCTCATATGATCGTGTGTGCATCTACATGTAGTAACTAGCTTGAGCAGAACAAGAGTCCGACATTATCGGCAATAAGGGAATGTAAGCATATATTCTAACAAATAAAATAACATTGTTATGAATGTTAATCTTCAAACGGTTTTCCTTCACGTTATTTACTTTAGTTTTATCCCAGATTCTGTCAGCGTGAGTTCTGATTTATGCATGACCAAAAATGATAAATTTGAGAGATCTTTAAAGTGCACGTTACACAACACGTTCTACGCTCACTACATCAACAATATTGAGTACATTTTGTTATTTCGTGACAACAACTGAGAACTTGTCGCCCTGGGGTGGCGACAAAGAATCTCTAGACATCCTTTTTAATTGAAAAATGTATAGACAGAGCAGATAAAGACATAAACAATGTTTTGCCACAGGCAAATTTCATTATAGATAATTTGCTCTAACTGTGAAGAACTGTTTCAATGCTAGCCTCAAGGAAACCAAATTGATTTGGAGTCAGCTCGATCGAATGAATAAAACGTTTGAATAAGTAACGTGAAACAAGAAAAAAAGCAGCTGAGTTTATGAGAAGGATAATGAATAACTAGAAGGACAATTGATTAATTTTGATAATAATTGTGCCAGAATCAATATCTTCACGTGACATCAAATATAGGCGTCACAGGAATTCGCTTTACTCTCAAACAGGAAAGGAGTTATCTATTTCGGCAATCTGTTCCTTAGCTGTTAGTATACGTGGATCGCGAAGCGTCAAAGCAAGGGTCTGACCAATTGTAAAATCCTGGTATTTCACGGAGAAATATCGTCAGGTGAGACTAGATCTAATTTCTTCTTCTTGTAGCATGAAATTGCCAAATGGATTGAGTGTGTTACGTAGTCCTTAAATAAAGCGGGTTCTTTTGTTTGAAATTTGTAGTAAAATGGCGTCAATGCAGTTCCTCTGATCTGTTTTCAGTTTGTCTACAATACATTTCATTAACAGTTTCCTGACATAATCGAGAAGCAAGCCTTCCAGTTTTCTTGAGATGTCATAAGTTGCGAAGTGATAAAAAGAATTTCGTGGTCGTCGTCCATAAATTGTTAATTACAACAATTACGAGTTGACAATCATGTTAAACTCTTCCAATTAAATGTCAGCGTCTAACTCATTCTCATATAATCGACTAAACGAATATATCTGTCCACAATTTCACATCCTAATATTGTAACAGGTCAGATTATGTAGAAAAACTTGCTAAATGCTGCAACCAATTGAAGTTGCTATAAAGCCACAGAGATAGCTGCAATCACCGAAGAAAAAATTTTTTTTCATTATTTCGAATACATACGTTGAGCTATAATTTATATTGGTAATATCGATGGCCCGTTAGGTAATTCAAATGCTTAAGTATGTTTCCACGCGAAGAGCTGAATCGGTCCATACCTTATTGAATCAATTATAATCCAAAACAAGATCAACTCACAAAATTTGCTTTGCATTAGCAATTTTCGGCGTCCTTTCATCGGCTGACATTTTTGATAATTACTTTCTAACTCAGTATTTGTCTTAGTAGTTCTCAAAATGGAAAAAATGGTACTGCGACGGATTGGTTGTGATCTAGCGGAAACAAGCTCTTAAAATGTAACATAATTTGTTTATTCTAGCATTTAGGAAATACATGCTGGCCAGCTATTGTTACCTAAAGGAAAGCATGAAAACAAATGACACAGCGCACGAAAAGGATTGGGTTATCACAAGTAGCAGCAGTAGGTGAAACTTGTAGTTCTAATAGCGTGGTCCTAACTACTGCATAGTAATGGTTATCAGAAACAATAACGAAAGAACGAGCAAAACGTCTGTTTACTCACACTGAGACCTTCCCAAACTGAACATCAAAATATCAGCATTGCATTTTTTAAGATGTTATGTAATTCCTCCCGAGATTTTTAGCATTCTGAGTTATAAACAAGGTTTTTTTTAAATATAGTTTTTACTTTTGTATACATGCAATAAATTCAGCGAACGATGGATTAGTTCTGATGGCACAAATTGCAAATTTTCTTTGGTAACGGTCGGTGCTCAATTGATCAGAGCGGGCAATCGTTACGAAGCAACACTTCATAGTACGCCCCTGCTTGTTTGGGGATGTTATCTTTGGTTAATTAAAATTTATGTTTTAACCAGTTTTTAGATTTTATGGTAATAAACATAGAATCTTGCTGTTAGCATAACCACAGCAGATCACCACAGCTAGTAGTTTTTTCAGATTTATACGAAGGTGGCTGAGCGAACTTGAGGACGTTACGCAGGAAAACTTCTTGAAGATATGCGAAATGTGAGAAGAGATTTTTAAAACAGGAAATTCTCTGAAATAATATGAGTGAATTGAAATCAATTCAATTTTACTATGAATTTGATAACAAGGTAGGCAAATTCAATTTATTTTTTCAACTCTTCAGTTAGTTTTCCTTGGCACCATTGTTAAAACATCAAAGGGATCTTTTTGTTAAATGAAAGGTAAAAAAATGTGTTCATTAACGGAAGCAGAATTTGAGTTATGTAACCGACATTTTACTTCGTTATCACATTGTTATATTTTTACAAGTCATTGCATCCGATGAAACCATGTGAAAAACCAGCAATTTTCGCCGGCAAACGTAAAGATCATTATAAATTATATGTATGTTTACATAAGTAGTTTTTGTGTACACTTCTGTCAAAGTTTCCCATGCAAGTTCTCTAAGCAGATGTGTTTGAAGTCAAATAGGTTACAATTTGCATTTAAATCTTTCAATTTCAGAGATAAGGAAACAGGTTAACTGTTGTTGACATGGTAACGTCCGTTGTTTTGTATTTATCATAAATGAGAAAAATCCTCTGCGGTTTTAGTTTCACCTCTATATCATCCGTCATTTCGCGCGTTACATAAGCCACAACTGCAACAATAGTCAAACAACCGTTATCAAAGTCTGCCGGCTAGACATTGTTTTTTCCTCAACTAGTTATTTATTAATGGTGAAATTAGGTATGTATTGTTTTGCAACTTGTAGATTTCATTTCATTTTAAAAAGACTGTTCTTGATTGTTATCAATCCACACACAAAATTGTCTCTCGCACTAGTAACGTGCTATTGAAGCATTTTTCACCGTCTTCTCTTACACTAGGAGAGTCTTGTTTGGGCAAACATCGTGAGAATATCCTCAACGTTTTATAAACTAACTAGAATTCACTAATACTGATATTGCGCAATGTATTTCTAAAGTTTAACGGTTTTCGAGAAGAAAGTGGAGGACTCGCGGGAGCTAATGACAAACTCGTCATGAATTTCAAAGGCATTGTCTTTTAAGGTAAGTGAAACAATTCCCACTTCAGATCTGGCTTTACTTTGTAGGAATTCAACTCTATTTACACATATCTGCAGAATTCCCCTGCAACAACAAATAACTAATTACGTATCGTCTTGTATCATGAAAGGAATACCCATTTAACTGCCCACTCGGAGAAATTCATCATGGTTGCTGCAGTTTTGTCCTCACTATGTTACTTTATCCTCGACGATACTCGTACGAATTTGTCGAGTTTCTAATGTTGAAGTTTAATATTGTGAAGATTTTAAAAACGAAAAACCACATTTGCGATAAACAAAATGAACTACCTGAAAGCGAAATCTATTTTGATTCAGATCTAACTGAAACTTGAAAGAGGGCGGCCTTCTCACTTCAATTCTATTTAAAAATTCTCATTCTGGATTTTTTATCTAGCACAAACATTTGCTCACCTTCAAATGCAAATACATACTGACAGAATCTTTTAGCAATGCAATATGCAGATTAAAACGATTATTTACTAATAAATAAAAAGTAAAAGATTTTGATCGATTTGGTTTTGACCATTTTTCTTGCTCGCTTTATATTTTTCGACCCAGTTAAACTAGTGAGGCACAAGTTTAGGGGTATAACGAGTGGTGCAGTAAATTTAATCGGCTTCCATTGTCTAAGGTAAAAGGAAGGCAAAGAGTACTTTCTTTTAGCTTTTCTCAGAGTTTCCATTTTCGCCAGTGATAGGCATGATGAGATAAGACTTAAACGATGAAAAGTGTCCGTACATACGACACAAAGTATTGAATACTGGTCAGACATGTGCTTTGCATATCAGCCATTGTTTCTCTGAAGTATTCTTGACGTGGCCGCTTTTATGAAAAACCAAAACGAAAATTGCACTCGAAGGTTTCACGAAAATCACCTTTATAAGCGAGTCTGTAGAGGGAGTTTCTCGATTGTTGAAATATTGCCGACAAGATGATAGGACAGCGGTTAACCTTTCACCCTCATGGCCATTGGTGGACATGCGCACCATGGTCATAACTGATTATGGGAACCGAGAGAAAATTCATATCTAAACTTAGGCTCATCTTTGTGGGAAGTTTCTCAAGGTTGTAAATAAAGTGGGCATTGCAATAACTTCAAGGAGTTGAAGAAAGGTCCACTAAACCATGTAGAAGAGGAAAAGTACTAAGGTCTCCTGCATGAGAGGGAATGGTGTCTTTCTATGAAGAACTTTCATGTTATTTCTGCATTTAATTTTCATGCGAGCACTCATTTACTATTTTAAATGTTCGAACATATAATTTTCGGTAATTAAATGCTAAAATGTTTATTGAAATTTGTTTTATCACGTTTTTGTGGTTTGTGACTGGGCACATATGGCTTATAAATATATAAGCACGAGATATAAGATTCCTTCTTTTAATATCAAGTTAATTTTCTTTCATAAACGAAAATATATTGGGCCAGAATTACCACTGACTGATGGTTTACTTTTCACGACATCTAGAGGAATCATTTTTTCTTTCACGTCATTAATGGAAACTGAAACATTTCAGGTAAAATGATAATTCATTGAATTGAAACAAATAATTTCTTTCTTTCTCATACAAATTTGTGACATGATAAATATAGTGAAAGAATATTCGCATAACAAAGTACCTGAAATGGGAATCACAGGTTCAAAATTTGGTGAAACCCAGCAATTTACGAAAGAAAGAATCGAAAGAAAAGAGAAAGTAAACTGAATTTAAACAAAACTTATGATGATTCCGTTAGGAGATAAAAACAGTCGCCTCAAACGCATAATACAGATCACGTCATCTGCTTCTTTTACCTGTTACTAAAGCTCTAAATTTCATAGCTATCGTAGCATCTTGAATCGCTGTATTTCGAATAATTTTTCTGTCGGTTCTCCAATCAGTTTCAAGTTTAAAGCTATTAAATTTGAAGAAAAATCGTTGAAGTGGCTATTATCGTGTTATCACATCATACTCAGTCTTTGATAATTGTTTGCCATCGATCATGCCATGAATAAATTTCAGCAGGAAGCTAGTTTAATTTATCGCCAATTTCACGAGCATTTAAATTCACACACTGAAACCGAGAGAAAGGATGTAATTTCGTTAGTCTTGACGTGCAGCATGGTTTTTTTCAATATTCGAGTTTCTCGGTTGGAAATCTTAGTTGCCGCAGGGAATGACAAATTGTAATCGTTTCGAAAATAATGAGGACACATGTTTGTGATACTAGTAATAGTTCACAAGGGAAATCCTGTAAAATCTCAGCTGAGTTGGTCCTTCGAAATATGTAGATAACGGTATATCTGATGTAATACAGTTGTCACTGAGAATGGCTCACTATAAGACCAGGAATGTGTCTATGAAATTCAATGTAATATTCTCCAGAAACCAATTTTGGTTACTGACCCACTTGAATATGTCTCTATAGCCAAATTAATTCAATATCTCCGCCTTGCTGTTTTAAAGTGGAAACTCTTAGGAATATTTCCTGACCATAACCTGATTTGTGCGTATTCAGGTTGGCTTATTTCTTACTTCATTAATGAAAATCCGTGTCCTGCTGAGTGAGATAGTCTTATAATGTTGTCATGATCGCTTATGGATGACGACTGGGTTTGAATATTGCAATAAAGACTAATTTCGCTCGGATTTGCTGCGGAGATGTTAAGACGAAAATTAAAAGAAAAAAAAGGGAATTAATTCCCTGCGAGCTGTAACTAATTTCAGTGTTTGATTGATTAGTTTTTGAGGCAATATTAGCTTAGTCTAATGCATATATATATATATATTTTTTTTCTTTTTAATTTCAATAAAAAAGATACCTCAGCTGCAAAAAGAAAATCCAGTTGAAAAGCTTTGCTGTTTGCTGATACGGAAAAACGTGTAAGGGTCTTTTTTTTTACTTTAACTGATGTCTCATTTCAAAGATTAGTAAGCAACAAATTTCCCAATGCATACAAAATTAGCCATATAGTTCAACAGATCATTTACAATATTTTCCTTTAACCTTAGTAAAAAGCTTTGAAGATAAAAGAGAGCGTCAAGAATCTCCCTTATCCGAGGTACTTTGGAAAGTGCATTTTATTCGGTCATCACAGCACTTAATACATTTTAGAAAACGATTATTACGCCGATAGTATGAAACCACAATTGCTCATCATAAATTTAAGATGAAGAGAAAGTCTTTGCGTATTTCCCGTCACTGTTCATATTCCCTATTTTCCAAAAATAACGTAAGCTTATTTTCAGTATAGTCAAATTCTTAAATTTTTTTTTTCATTAGTCTTACGAGCTTTTACAATCATAAAGTCTAGATTTGCTTCTCCAAGAATGACAAAGTTGGCTGGCAATTCAGATCAGATCATCTCAGACTAAAAGAAGTTAATTGAAGGACTTTGACTGACTGTTGGTTTGTCGATTTCGGTGTAAATAATAATGTACTTATAATGATTAAACCGTGAGAGAACCATAATTGCAGCCTCTAGGAATTAAAAGACAGATTAGATCCCAAACAAGCTGATGACTAAGTTAGTGGCCAAATAGGAAACTTAGATAAAATTAATGATATGCTAAATTGGGCAAAAAAGAAAAAAAAAAGATTCAACTTAGTCAAGGTGGTTTTCAAATTTTTATCGATTTTGAGTTGATAATTAACAGTAAGTGCTGCTCTGTGACTCTGCGAACAACGGCTTAATGGCAGTGATTCAGCGCAGTTAGGACTATATAATGATCAATTAACAACAATGAGAGTATGATTAGTGAATGCCATTTACCTATCAAGCTACGACCTCTTATTGCATCATCCATTAAAAACTAATCTAAATTACAATACCCAAGAAACTGAACCTTGTCTCCAATTAAATTGAGACAAGGTGACTGCAAGGGTGATTACAAATGGCGTATACCTCATTTCTGCGAGAGACTAGTAAGTTTTACAATTGCTACAAGGTGAGAGAATCACGACCCCCCTTAGATATGCTAAATACCAACAGCGAAATTGTGAATCACTGACAATCTGCGAAATGATGCCGACCAGATTAGAGTTCAAGAAATAGAGACTTGCTGTTTGTTTTCAAAATCGATTAACTTAAGAAGCGGAAGACCTACAACTCATAATTTCCTGATCCGATTAATTTTATCGTGTTTCCTTACCCATCGTAGTATTTAAGGAAGAAATGTACTCTCTACTTGTTGGGAAAAAAACATGTCAGATTGAGTGGCCTTAAAAACACTCTTAATTATTAACAAAATAATTACGCTGGTAGAATACAAACATATTTTCGTGCATTTCACTTCTTGAAGTAATTGTCAAGTTTATTTATGTTGCCTTCAAACAATTAATATTTCATAATTCTTTTAAAAGTTCATAGCACTTATCGTAACTTCTACATTTAACTCAGATATCAATTTGCATATTGCTGTTAAGTGCTACCATTCATAAAGAAATAACACACCCCTGAGTGCATCACATTGACTTCATCAGTCGTCCTTCTCTGAATAAGACTGTACAAAGTCCTTTTCACTGAAGTTTTTCTTCGTAATCTTTACTGATTCACGTAAGTGTTCTTACCTTTCTGCTTTAAAAAAATTACTCTTTTCTTATTCTTTTGACGTGTTTCTTCCTTTTTACAAGATACATATTTTGAGACATGCCAATTGCTCCCCTTATTTAGAATGCATAGTTTGATGACAACTTTGAAATCATTTCTAGCTACTTTTGTGTCAGTTAAGCGAAAAATAGAAACGGAACACTAAACATCAAGATTCTAAGAGATCAAGCAAAAGTATTTTTTTGTCAGGAAGGATAGTAGTCATTCTTCAAAGCTTGATTGATGATATTTTCCTAGTTTGCAACGTTCTGGGCCTACATTGCTAGCCATAAATTTGTTAAAGGAATGACTCGATTTTATTTCTGTCGCTGAAAAATAACATTTACAAAAGCAGAAATAAATCTGAGTGCTTGCCATAGAATGTAAATTTTATCTACAATAATATAATGTA